GGATTTCCGTCATTTTGTTATTTTTTTTTTTTTTTTAATTTTTTATTTATATTTCTTACAGAATCTTTTTCATATTTTTTATATTTTTATTAATATAACAAAGGGAATTTAAATTCTTAACAAAACAATAAGAAAAACAATAAATGTTACAACACCTTACGCAAATAATAAAAGAGGATTGATTACTTGAACAACAGTTGACATTTTATTTTTTAACAAGCATATAAAAATATATAAATCTTTAATAATAACAAATAACCATCCCGAAATATATTTTTTTAATAATTAATCCGTATTGAAACATTCGCAATGTCTCCTTCTAAGATCGAGTTATTCAATGAGCCAAGAATAAATTCATTTTCATTGATGAGATTCTAATTTTATAATTACGAGCTTTGATAATAAAATGACACCTGAAGGAAGAAGAAGAAATTTAAAAAAAAAAAAAAAAAAGAAAAAAAAACATACACGTGCAGACACAACATACTCATACATATGCAGAAAGATTATCGATGAGAAGAAATATCGCGTAAGGCTTAAAAAATTGTTTATCTATGAACGCACGTGTCAGTGCTAAACATATGCGTATTGATTCATTGAAATAGAAATTCGTATTTCATAAAATATTTAAAACAAAGTGGGATAAACTAATCTTCTTTTTCTTTTTTTTTATTACTATTAATATTATTGTTTTTGAGAATCTAAATTTAATTTAAAACATTTTTACATGCGTGTCATTTATCGACAAGGATATGTAAGTAGAACGAATATTTAACCCATTTGCATACAAGGGTGGAATAATTCGCATAAGAAACATTTGTTTTTCTATTTATGAGCATTTAAACGGTGATACCAGGTCAGTCGTCAGTCGAATGTCGAGAACGTTTGAACAAGGAAGAATAATTCTAGTCATAATGCAAATGGTTTTATAAATTTTTTTATTATTTTTAAATGAACATCATCACACACGTATTAGCCTTGTGTAAATACGTTTATGTTATGTTCACGAATCTTGTGATTTATAATATTGTTAAAATCAAATTACAGGGAATATTTCAACGTTGATAATCAACTAATTCAATGAATCATAATTTACGTTTTATATTGTATATTTGCCGAACTGATTATTAAATAATACTGCTTGCTAATCAAGACTTATTATAATAAAATGATTATGAGGACTGTTCTATTGAAAAGTAAAAAATCAAATCTCTCGAATAATTCATTTTTTATACGACAACACAAGATTTTGTTGAATATAATATTATGTTTTTTTTTTTAAAAAGACTGTTTAGATTTTGTTATGAGCATATTTAAATATTAATAAACATTCTTTTTAGATTTACTGGCAAAGACTGACAGTCGTATGAATTAAACATGTAATGTTTGTACATTATATTTATAATACATTGTAAATGTACGAAATACAAAACTAAACGTTGAACTATACATACGTAAAAATGTAAGTATATTATAATAAAAATATAAAGCTTTGTGAAATGTCTTTTAATTCATTATTTGCTCCATTTTATATAAAACATTACATGGAAGTGTGTGGTAAATTATTAAATATTAGATTTTTCTATTATAAATTACATATAGTTTCGTTCTAAATTGTATTAATGTGATATTAAAAAGAAGTTTCTAGTGAATAGTTAAGTATTTTTTTAATACAATATTTATTTTTAATAAATATCTATTTTATCGACTGCCAGTATGAAACACAGTCGATAATTTATCTACAGTCGGTAATAATACTTAGCAAATAATATTTTTATATTTATAAGCGTTAATTGGTCTTGTCAAAAAACCGATTTATGCTTATATTATATTTATTTTAAATAAATGAAAAATAAATTCAAAAATAAGCCAAATATCATCGATATTTATTATACCTAACACCAAAAGTATCGCGGAATTGAAGATCAAACGATAATACGCTGTCGAATTCAATACCCGAGTCTCTTACAAATATTTTGTCAGTCGAATGTCGTCTGTAGCCGACGCTCGTTCACACAGGTCGTCATTCGGATTCCGTCCATAAACGAAAGGGTTAAATAAAAGATTTCTATCTTATCAAATGTAGGTAGTTCCATTTTATTAATTCATTTGATCTTTCTTATCTTCAGTCGATGACAACGATTTCTGTTCTTTACTGACGAAATCAACGTGATAGTAAATAAAATACATCACTAATCAAATTAACAATTTATACATTTATTAAATTGACTTGTGCATGCAATGGAAAGAATTGATTTCGTATTTTATTTCAAAGAATATCATGAAAAATTTATTATATAATTTAAAATGATGAAATAAAATTCGATAATATGAAAATGGTAGACGGTAATTATTTTACAAATGATTTTCAATGAACAATATTACGATTATATATATATATATGGAATAATAATTTAAGGAAAATTCAATATAAGATTTTAGAAATGTTATCAATAAATCTCTCATATATCTTCAATATTTTGTATACCTTATTTATTTTTCTTTTTTATCTTCGTATAATAATCATAAACGTACAATTTAAAACAATAGTGCTCGTGTTGTTTATGCAATGTACAGGATAATCTTTTAAGCTATAATACAAGTTCAAAATGAAATACAAATCAATAGACTATTATTTTTTTTTTTAAGGTTAAACCTTTGTGTTTATATGTAACGTGTCTCTCTCTCTCTCTTTCTCTCTCTCTCTCTCTGTGTGTGTGTTTGTG